TGGCTTTGAGGACACTTTCTTAGGCAGATTCCTTTTCCCCAGCTGCTGGAGAAGGTTCTCATTGTAGGAGCCACTTGGGCTGAGGCCCAGGTACCAGCACAGCACACCCATTAGGACTGGATTTAGTGACCTGATCTCGGCCACTGTGGGGACCAAAGCAGGATGCTGACCTGCGTGAGGAGCCCTGGTTCTCACCTGGATCCTACCTTTGCTGTGTGGTCTTGAGCCAGCCACTCACCTTCTCTGTCTCTCTGCTTCCTGGTCTATAAAACAAAGAAATACTGAGCTCAGAGGCCTCCAGGGGCCCTTCGCATTCTGCTGTACTCAGATTCTAATTTGCTGTGTACTAATTAGGAATCGGAGAGAATTTCAGTTCAATACATATGATCCTCAGTGAGTAAACAATTGGAAATAATTCCCTCCTTTATGACTTCCCAGAGACTCACTCATGAGCAATGAGAACCCAGCTGAAATCAATAGCTTTTATTTCTCAGACAGAGAAATTGCAGATTCCTTGAACTGCTGGGCATTGCAATTCATTCTTGTATTTTAAAATTTTATGTTTATGTTTATGGACTGCCATTAGATAATATGGATTCATCCTGAAGGTTGTTTTTTTCATTAACTCATTTTACTTATTAGTTCACATTTATAGCTTGGATTTAATAAGCACATTGTGCAAAAGTCATGAAATACCCTTCTTCTTTAACAATATTTTAAAATCAAGACTCCTTTCTGAGTCATCTCAGGTTTATTTGCTCATAACTTGCTTCTCCTGTGATTTGACCCCCAGCACAGCCATCTCTAGCCTGTTATTCGACCTTGAGCTTGAGTGTCTTTATTCGTAATACGGGAAAGACATCACTAGTTAATAAAAGTAATAAATTTTAAAAGCTAGGATTCAACAATCACTGTATTCAAAGTGGTTCTCATATGTAAGCTGGTTGAATCTCACATTCCTATGAGGTGGCTTTATTTTTTCCTACTTTGTAGGGGAAGAAACTGAGGCCCGGAGAGGTTAAATGACTTGCCTGAGGCCACACAGTTGGTGATAGTGGCAGAGCTGGGATGCAAACCCAACATGTCTGTGTGAGTCAAGCTGACACCTAAAATTAACCCTCACAGTGTCTAAATCAGCCACCACCTTCCCTCCCACCTCTACCCTTGGCCTGTCAACAGCCCTTTATCCCCCCAGCCCTACCCCCCACCAGGCCCCACCCATCCTCCTTCCATCCTCTGGTTTTCTGTTCCCACTTGCCTGGGCTCCTTGCTGCTTTTAATCTCCAGAAAGGACACGTCTGCCCTATGATCATCAGTGGCTCCCCATTGCCTGTGGATAAATTTCATCATCTTTGGCCTGACATTCAAGGACCTTCATCATCCACCCCTTGCCTTCGGTTTCTGTCTCATTTCCCACTCCGCCCCAACAGGCAGGCTTAACTCATGGTCTTGAATACCTACCCACACCTGGGGAGCCCCATACCTTTGCTCGCCCTGGTCTCTCTGCCTATGGTGCCCTCCTCTCATCTCCATACATTCCGATCTTCCCCCTCCTCCAGGATGCCGTCCCTGGGGCCTCTCACTCCTCTGAATTCATAATGATATGATGAACCCCTCCTTAGCCACCTGGAGGCCACCTGCTGTGTGAATGGCCTTCTGGTTTCTGGCAAATCAATTCCAGCTATGATGTTCATCGTGGATAATGGTGAAGAAAACGAGACATTTAGGGGCTGCACAGAACTCTGTTTTTGAGCCTGAGGATTTCGTAGACGAGGAAACTGAGGCCCAGAGGTGGGGAAAGAGGAACTTGGGTAAAAGAATCCACTGAATTCTCAGTCCAGGCTCGCTGGGGATTTCTCTGCTATTTCCTGGGTTATCTTGATCACTGGGATTAGAACTACCACTCTGTTGCTGATCACTGCACTTTACAGTTTGCATGAACTTGACCTAAGATAGGCATCTCAGCTGCTCTGGGAGGTTTCACCAAGGCTCAGAGAGGTAGGTTGCCTGGCTCGACCACACAGCCAGTGTCTAGCAGTGGAGCCAGGCCTGGAATGCCAGTCAGGCTGTGCCACAGCTGTGCTCTCCTCCGATCCCCATGGATGCTGATGCTCACTGGCGTGGCTACCTGCTGGCAGCAGCCTTGTGTTTATGCCAGGATGTCCTGACTGGAGCAGGCAGCTAAAGAATGAAGGAGACAGAGCCAAGGAAAATGCCAGGCCAGGCCTCAGTGAGAGGGATCTGGCCTCAAGTAGCGGGGGATCAGAAGACAGGTGACATGGGCCAGGCCCAGCTCACCGCCCTCAGAGCTGGGCTTCCTGGACTGTGGGGATGACCAGGGCCTTGTGACTACCCACTCCCAGCCCCATCCACCACTCAGTTGTGTCCTCCCCAACTGGCATTTCTGGGCCTGGACTTGGGAAAGGAGCTTTATCTGAGGATGACACACATGTGCATTTACAATGACACATGTTCACACACTGAATCCCACCGACACACAGATGCATGTCCACCCCCACATGCTGCTGACAGTCATGCACACATGCGTGACACACATCCTCCTCAATGTCTCTAGTTCACGCTCTATTTTAAACAATCTAGGTGGCAGCATCCCACAGTGATCGAGAGCTTCCACTCATAAAGCAAATTGGGGTTCAAATTCAGTCTATTTCACAGCTGCGTGTCTGACAGTTACCTAGCTTCTCTGGTCTTCAGTTTCTCATCAATAAAACGGGAATGATAGCGCTGTTAGAATGAAGTGGGTGGACACATGTAAAGCACTGACCACAGGACCTTTCTGTCTCATTTCTACTCTCAGCTCCCACAGGCAGCGTTGGCCTGTGGTCTCAAACACCTGCCCCCCACCCCCACGTCCAGGTATCTCTATGCCTGTGCTCACCCTGGGCCCATTGCCCACAGCGCCCTGCTGCCGTCTCCACACACCCATGTCTACCCCCTCCTCCAGGAAGCCTTCACATGCCCACGGGTGTTATCAGGGGAGTTAGAGGAGAAGCTCCTCTTCCTGTGAGTTATTAGAAGCGCAGGTTTCAAAGCTGGCCTGAGAGATGGTAGAGACTGATGGAGGGTCCGTGATCCTGTTTCACAGATGGAGAAACTGAGGCTCCATGCAGGGGAGGGTGTGCCTGAGTGTTCACAGCCAGTTAGTGTGGTGTTGGGACTGGAACCCCGGACTCCTGCTTATGGGTCTACAGCTGTCACTTCCTTCCGAGAGTGAAGACTCCCTCCTCCATGGATCTGTTAGTTGGGTGGGTGTTCTGGTTTTCTCAGCCAGTTTGAGGGAACATGGAAGTTGGGGGGAAAGATGGAGGCCAAGGGGGTCCCCAGATGAGTCTCTTTATCAAGTGTGTGATGGTGGGTTACAGAGAGGAGTGGGGATGCTGGGGAGGAGAGGCCCAGAGAGGCTGAGAGAGACACACAGTGGGGACTGGGACAGGGGTGGCTGCAGCATGAACCACGGGTGACCCTGGTGAGCCTGCAAGGACAGCGTGGCTGTGGATGCTGCTACCGAAACCATCTCTGTTGTCACCTCTTTCCTGCAGCCTTTTATTTATTTCTTTATCATGCCCTTTTGGAAAACGCTGGGAACACCACTCCTCCTGGGGAATCCTCCCTCCCATCCCTCCCCAGTTCACACCGTCTGGTGTGACATTCGTGCTCACCAGCTTGCAGAGTGCTAATGACATTTGCATTTTGCTGGCTGGCGAAATGTGGGTTGTGCTTGGTGACTGGGGTAAGGGGATCCTACAGGCAGGTGGGAGGTTCCCAGCCTAGAAGGAGGGGCAGGCTTGCTGGACTGGGGGCCCACTTAGGACTCTGAGATGTAGAGAAAAGGGAGAAGGTGGGTGCAGAAGAGACAAATGGCTGGCGGAATTTAGAGAGGCTGTTTGTCTAAAGACTTGCCAGGAACACAAGGCAGCTCCAAGTCCGGTGTTCCACCTCTCCTAGCATGCACTGCGCTATCCTCCTCTGTGCTGCCTCCTTAGCATTTATTGAGCAATTTCTATATGCCAAATGCTCCTCTGTGGGCTTCACAGACTCATGAAAGTCATTTTAATTCCCAGCAATCCTCGGGAAAAGATGCTATTATTATTCCTATTTTACAAATGAAGAGTCTGAAGCTCTGAAAGGACCCCTGACTTCCCTCTTCTGGAAAGAGGTTGTGCCAGCCCGTGGCCAAGGTCTACATGCTTCCAAAGCCCATGCTCTTGGCCACTGTGGGCAACCTCCTGTTCCTTGTCTGGGCTTGAGCAGAGCCAGGAAACACTTGTCTGCTGAGGCCCACGACTGGGTGGTGAGCATCCTCTCCCCTCCCCCACCACAGCATGCGACAGGCTCCTGCTGTGCTCCTGGGGCTGCTCCAGTTTGACAGCTACAGAGGAGGCTATGGCCCGAGAGAGGCTTCAGCAAGAGTCAGGAGAGACTCAGAGTCTAGGCCTTCCTCTGACACCAACTTGCTGCTGTGTGACTCTGAGCAAGTCAGTGCCCCTCTCTGGGTATCAGTCTCCTTATTGGTGGAAAGAGGCCATTGGTCTGGCTGCATTGGAGCATCCCGGGAATGCATTTTCTTGCATTGAAGAAGCTTCTCTCCAATCTGCTTGGGCCCATGGAGTTGCCTTGCACTCAGACATACAAATTATGTTTTACATCAAAGCAAATCATGAAACATTTGCCTCGCCTCCTCTCCCTTCTGCAAGGGGCCTAAACTAGGGTTTAGGCTAGTTGCAGGGGTTAGGATGCTTATGTATTTTTACCCCACACACGTGTACTCGGGTACATGCATACCTTTGTGTCTTAGGATTATTTCCAGCCTACTTCAGTCAGATCTAGATGTTGAGTCCCCAGTCCGGAGGCTCACCCCCAGGCTCCCGCAGTCTTGGTTTCATCACCCCGCCTCCTGCAGGGCTGGGAGAGCCTTGCAAAAGGAAAGAAGAGACCTCGGCTCTGGCAGGTAATCACGACTGCGTGTGCTTCTCTCACAGGTGAGCATCTCCCAGACAGCCTCAAGCTTCAGGTGAGCTGAGCTTCTAACACTGCTACAAAGCAACTGGAACCCCTTGAATTTGATTTCTGGAGACGCAGGCATAATCCTTTTGCAGACGTCTCAACGCTGGCTCTCCAGGTAACACGGTTTAGGCGTGTGCAGCAGGGGGATTTTTGCTACTTTTGTTGTTGTTGCTGTTATTGTTGCTAAGGGTAACCGTCAGCAGGGCGCCTGTCATTCTCCATCATTTATTCTCTCTTGTGGATTAGTGTCTGTCTCCCCCATCATGCCAAAGGTCCATGGCAGGATAGTAAGGGGTGCAGATAGCATGAGTGGATCTCAGCCAGGGTTGCTGGGGCCTCACTAGATTCACCAAAAAGATAACCCTCAGAGGGGCCGGATAGCTGAGAAGGCTGAGGTGCAGGCTGGCCCATCGGGCTGCTGGCTCATGGCCCCCAGGCTCACCTGGGGAAGGGTGGAGCTGTTGTCCAGGTAAGCAGGAACCAATGGTGGGTCAGAAGTAAAGGCTGGCTGCAGTGGGTGGCAAAGAGGGCAAAGGCTGAACTGAGGTCAGATGCTGCGTCATTTGGGAGCCAACGTTCAACTTAAACTGGATTAAGCAAGATAGACCATTTTATTAGTTTTTTTATTGGTTTCTAATCTGGTGATGATTTGGGGCCTATTTATAGGTTTCAAGGCAGGCAGGGCTGAATCCAGGGCTCAAATGCTGCTGTTAGATAGAACTGTGTCTCATCACATCCGGGTCCTCTGCTACCCTCCTTGTGACCTTCAGTCCTCGGCAGGCACTTGCCATGTGGCAGCAGGGCAGGGACCTGCAGCTCCAGATGGACAACTTTCTCATTTCAAATTCAATGGAAGGAAGCTTCTTTTTCCCAGGACTTCCAACAAAAATCCCAGAGTCGAGGCTTATTGGATAATCTTGGGTCACATGACAACCTCTGACCAATGACTGAAACCTGGAGGCTAAGATATGCTGATCGGCCAGACTGGGCCAGTGGTGTGTGGTGGCCAGTGGTGGGTGGTGGACCAGTGGTGGGTGGTGGTGGCATGGTGAGGTCAGGAGGTGTCATGGGTTGGGGAAGTCAGCCTGAATGCATGAAAGGGGATGGACTTCCAAGGGAAAATCTAGGCATTATTTTTAGAAAAAGGAGAAAGAATGCTGAGCAGACAAAACAGCAGATTCTCCCCATTGGTGTCATGGTGGGAGTTGGGGGCGATGAAGTGCCCAGGTGGTTGCATGTGTCCCAGTTGGTGTCCTTCCTGTGATTTATGGTACCAGCATTGGCCTCTCTCTGAGTGTCTCATTTTTAGTGAACCTAGTATCTGAAAGCCCAACTTTCTCTCTCTCTTTCTCTCTCTCTCCTCTCTCTCTCTCTGTCTCTCTTTTTCTCTCTCTCTCCTCTCTCTCTCTCTTTCTCTCTCTCTCTCTCTCTCTCTCACACACACCCATACATCTGATGGATCTGCAAGTGGTGCTTCACATTCCAAAAAGATTGTTCCAGACAGTCCTTCTCATAAAGAGCCCCTGCACTCTTTGATGGCTGCGCCACTATTTCAGCCACCCCAGCGCCTAGCCACCTTGGGTAGACCTCCACTCACTGGGAAAGCCTTTTCCTTCTTCCCCCACCTCAACTCCTTCATGGCTAGGGGAAGTTTCTTGAGCCTCTTTAGGGTTTATTTGCCCTAAATGAGCCCTTTCCCAGAAGACCAGCCTCAGCCTTGCTTTTCTGAAGCCTCTTAGAGTGATTGGGGGGAAGAGGGGGTGGGAGCTAGTTGAGTGGAAGCTCTGTCTCTGGGGGCATGAGGGTCCACGTGGCCAGGCCAGCCTGGCAGCCCTGCTGCCCTCCACCGTGCCAGCTGTGTCCTGCATTTAGGGTGTGGCATGTGATTTCATTTAAGAAAAGATTCCTCTGTGGAAAAAAATACTGAAAACCACAGCTTGTGATGCTGCCTCCCAGGCAGCTGCGGCCAGGCACATTGTCAGATCTGCCCCTTGCTTGGTTTTGGTCAACCACAAACCTCCTGGCCCTCCCCCAGTCCTTCTCTCGCTCTCTGTCTCGCCTGTGGGCTCCAAAGCTCTGAGTCACCATGCAGCCAGCTCAGCGCTCAGCACCACCCTGCCTTATATGGTGAGCTTAGCACCTCTGGGTCAGTGAGTGCTAATTCATTTATTCAGCCAACGTCTATCGAGTGCCTACCGTGAGCCAGGAGCTGCTTTAGATGCTGGGAATTGAGAGTGAGCAAAGCCCAAAAGTCCCTGTCCTCGGGGTCCCCTCCCTCTCCCCTTGGAGACCTCCTGGGGGCAGGACCCCCCTCTGGGTGTCTTGCCCCCAACCCCTCGCCCGACGTCTCGCACAATGCTGAACCATAACTGGGCTGGCCTGGTGGGTATGTCGGTCAGTTCCTTTCCACACCATTTGTAAAGCCCCACACCTGTGCCTGATGCAGCAGAACTAGCAAAATGACTTGGTTCTCAGCCTTTAGGACTTGGGGTGTGAGGTGCAGCTGGTCATGGCCCTGGGGAGGAGGAAGGGCACCTGTTAGAGATGTGTATGCAGACCTGCTCTGGGAGTGTGCACCTGTTAATAAAACGCATCAGACAAGCTCTCCTTCTCAGGCATTCTTCATTCATTCAGACGCACTCAACTGGCACTTCGGAGGCCAGTTCTAAGGGAGACCATGTCAAAGTCAAGACATCAAAGGTGCCGGGCGCAGTAGCTCACGCCTGTAATCCCAGCACATTGAGAGGCTGAGGCGGATGGATCACGAGGTCAGGAGTTCGAAACCAGCCTGATCAACATGGTGAAACCCCATCTCTACTAAAAATAAAAATATTAGCTGGGCATGGTGGTGCATGCCTGTAATCCCAGCTACTCAGGAGGCTGAGGCAGGAGAATCACTAGAACCCAGGAGGTAGAGGTTGCAGTGAGCCAAGATTGCACCATTGCACTCCAACCTGGATGACAGATCCAGACTCTGTCTCAAAAAAAAAAAAAAAAAAAAAAAAAAAGTCATCAGGGTAAAGAATGGGAAGGTCCAGAGCAGAAATACAAAGGAAGGCTTGGGGGTTCAGAGCCATAGGGAGATCTTCCTTCTGCACATTGGTGGTGTAAGATCAGGGGATGCAAGGTCTGTGAGCTGCGCCTGGATATGGGCGAGGTGAGGACACTAGAAAGGGCGTTCAGGAGGAAGACACAGCGAGAGCAGAGGCCTGGTGGTGAGACCCTGAGGCTCGAAAGGATGTGCTGGGCAGGAAGCCAGATGAAGTCGGTCAGCCTTCTTTCCCACAGGCCTCCAGCCTTGGCCATGTTGGGCCTGAGGCCATCTTGTCTTCAAGGCTGCTTTCAACTACAGCTTGGGCGTGGCGTGGAGTAGCTCCTCCCTTTTCCTTTCGTCCTCTTCGTCCCTGGGAAAAGGAGTTTTGGAGGGCCCTTTCGAAGAGATGGTGCCACATGAAGACCAACAGTTCCTAATCCTCTCATTCCCGAGATACTTTACGGAGCTTAGGACTCATTTTCACTTAGAGCATTGCAAGCAGCCGGCCTGGTGGCAGACCCTGGGCTGGAAGTTGGGAGACTTGGGTTCTTATCCCTGCTGTGCTACTGATGTCCTTAGCCTTCTGGCTGATAGTTAGTCAAGCTCCTTCCGGCTTGAAACGTTGTATTCCTTGTCAGACCTGGGTTCAGATCTGAGCTCTGCTAGCAGTATGGCCTCAGTACTCTTGTCTGTAAGTTAGGAATAATAATAGCACACTCTCATAGGACTGCGTGAAGATGAAAGGAAATACTTGCCTGACGGGGATCAGCATTCGTTGTAGCACTGATGCTATTGGTGGTGTTATTATTCATATTTCAATTGTATTAATATAACTCTGTGGGAGTCTTCAGTGTATAGGTGCCTGTTGGTCCATGTCCCAAAACACTTGGGGATGGGGTGAGGGGGTCACACCCCTCCCATCTCCAAATAGCGATGGGGGTGGGGCTGCCTTACCCAGAATCACATTTATTCATTCATTCACCAACACTTCATTGAGCACTTGCTGTGTGCCTGGCCCTCTGAGAAGCACACAGGGTCCTATTGGATAGGATATTCAGGGTCCCTGCTCTTAGCAGCTCAGGTCTTCAGGCTGAGACCTTGCGGGGAAATCCCACCCCAGCTTTCCATGGCACCCGAAGCTTTGTCCCACCCTCTCTTGCCATCTTGGGTCTAAGGCCTAGGTGAAGTGCCAGAGAAGCCACTGAAATGGACTGGTCCAGTGTTGTGCCTGTTCCTAAAGGATGGGCTGGATTGCCAAGGCCCAGCACAGCATCGTGAAAACTAAAGTATTTCAGAGGGGAAGATGGGCTGGCCCCTGGGCACCAATGGCAAGGACATGTTTCATTTTCACCCTACTATCATGCTTGTTTGGATCCTGAGTAGCAAAGAGTTCTGGTTATTTCTGGCAGATGCCAAGCCTGCGTGTGGAAGGTGCTGGGGTCCAGCCTGCCCCTGTGTTTGCCTCATGTTCTCCTGGTGGCTGTGGGTATCTCACCCTCTCTGGTCTCTGGCAGCCAGCAGAACCTGGCATGTGAAGCATCAGCCAGCGGCTGGTGAATGGATGGATGGGGGAAGGATCACAGAGGACTCACTAGCATCCATGTTGTCCCAGCATCACCCAGGGTGGCTGGAGACACCAATCTCTTGGCTTGTTTATTCGTGACAATTTGATCTTGGCTCCCGTGGAATATCAGGAATTTTTAAGCAGTGGAATGGACGCAAAACAAACGGCTTTTGAGCTTATCGACTTTGTCAGTTTCATTTCAGGGAGGCAGCCTGGTGTGTACCCTGATTTAAGGACCAGCGCTTGCAAATGCCAGCTCCGAGGCTGGCTGACCTTGGGCATGTTATTGAGTAGCTCTCAAAATCTAGTCTCTCACCTAGAAAATGGTGGCACTAATGGCATCATAGGGCTGTGATGAGCTTTAGATTAAATAATGAGTGTTAAAACATGTAGTAGAGCTCTGGGCACGTGGCAAATGCTCAAGAAAGGATGATGACGGTATATTTAATGACCACCCTTAAGCTATTTGGTGCATCTTCTTGCTCCCACATGGGTTTTTGTAGACTATTTGCATTTG